ACAATCCTACGAAGCTGCTTCAGTTTCAGACCATAAATGAGAGGGTTCATGATAGGAGGAACAATGAGGTACATTATAGAAAAGCTGTTTCTGAGAGCCTGCAGGGAGGTGTCTGAGCTGAAACGTGCTGATACAACATCAAAAGTTATAGAAATGGAAAAAGTACTCATTGTGATGAGATGGGGCAGGCAGGTCTCCATGAACTTATAATGTTCTGTCTGAGACGTTAAACATATCCTGGTGATTCGGACATAGGAGATTATAATTAGCAGGAGTTGAAATGAATGAAAAAAGAAGCAACAGTTGCCATATAAGTTGTTTAAGGTGGTATCTACACAGGACAGCTTTAGCACATCCCAGGTAAAACAATAAAGCTTCTCAATTCTGGATCCACACATGGGCAGCCTGACTGCCAACACAAGCCAGACAATTATCTCAAAGAAAGTTAAGAACCACATAATCTGCACCAACATTCCCACCCTCCGAGGCGTCATAATGGAGTGATACTCCAATGGTTTGCATATCGCAACATACCTGTCATAAGCCATTACTGTCAAATTAGTTATTTCGCAGGCAAGATATATGCTGATTCCACATATTTGAATTATACATGCAGTGTATGAGATCACATGAGAATCTGACAGAAGGTCAATCAGTAGCTTTGGATAGAAACTTGTGGAGCCACAAATCCCGTTCACACACAGATTACACAGGAAGATGAACATGGGCTCATGAAGAATCTTCTCCAGTAATATGGTCAAAATTAAAGTTAAATTTACAAATATGGTGAAAATGTAGACAAGAAAGGAAATGGCAAAAAAGATCTGTCTCTTTGTTCTAGTCTCATTTAATCCATGAAGCAGAAAAACAAAATGACTGGATGAGTTCTCCATCTGAGCCCCCTTGACGTGTCGTTCACAGACACGGAGCTTCTTTCTAACTGAGCGTCTGGGTCTGTGTTGCTGTGAAGAACCACGACGCTGTACAATCAGGAAAAAAGCTGACTTTTGTCTCATCATATTATCTGCCTGTAGGACTGAGTCAGAAGGATCCCGTTCTAATTGTCTGATGCATTAACCTCTGCCAGATTACATAGTATTACCATGTCCTCCTCTGTATGGCTGTTTGATGCCTCTGTCAGTTCAGCAGACCTGTAGGTCTTTATATGCTTCTGGATTCTGTTGTTTGCCTTCCATGTGTGAATGATGTGACTCTACAATAACACCCCAGAAAACAAGACAGTCACAATCCTAATTAGGTCTGTAGGGAAATTGCACAGGTATGGCCATTCACCAGAAGGGTCTGATCCTTCACTGATTTTACTGTCTGGATTTAAACCGTTTAAAAAACTCTGATATGTTTTGCCACAGAAACCAGAGGTGGAAATTTCAGATCCAGAAAGTAAAAATCCAGTCCACGATTTTGTTTCAACCAACCATTTCAGCATAAAGAGTCACAGACACAGAGTACTCAGCTGTTTGGTTGAAGCAAAATCTTGGACTGGATTTTTACTATCTGGACCTGAAATTTCCACCTCTGATAGAAACATAAAAAAATAATGGTTTACTTTTCAAGGTATATAGGTAGAAACTAAATATATTTTTAAAACTTTGTCAGGAGAATAAAACGAACCAACTGACTCGAATGCCTGAGTGTCGAAGCACTGCTGATCGCCCACCGATTTGCAAATACGCTATTCGTATGATAACGATACGATAATCCCGCGGTTGTTACGTACAGTTCAAGAAAATGCGTGAAAACTCCCAAAAACAAGACCACATGCCTGGCTTCTGTGCGCACTCACTGAGGAGCTGCAACCTTTCGTGTTGTGATGGGAGAGAGGAAATGGGGTAAACAAAAAAAAAAATACATCGCTTTAGTTCATGGATAACTGCGAATTCGGGTTGGCAGTTACTTTGTAAATTGCAAAATGTCACTTGATATCTAATTTTGTTAGCTATATGCTAAAAACTTTTTATAAATACTGTATATACAAAATGTTGGTAACTGGGTTGTTCATTTAGCATTTTTTACTACCTTTATGATTTTTTGTTAGTATATAAGACTACAAAGCAATCGTTTTATTTAAATGACTTTTCTCAAAATTCATGTCATAAAATAGCTTTAAATAATATGGATTGTATTTGCTGGCAATAAGATTTTATTTAAAATATTGACTTTTGTAGTAAAAACATTTGTATAATTCATATAAATGATGCAATGGGCCTCTCCTGGAGCCGACACCTTATCGTGGTGTATAAAAAAAATTCTTATAAAAGTATTGTACAGTATAAGGGCCCACACACCTTCTTCATACCGGGGCCCAGACTTTCTCTCGGCGACCCTGGCACCGAACACAAGGCTGTGTTTGAAATGTCCAGTCGTCCACTATGTAGTGCACTATATATGGAATTGGTAATTTTGTAGTGCTCTTTGAATTCTCAACTGTAAATTTCATTCACTATATAATGCACTACAAAATCAGTGCAAGGCACACCAAAGTGTAGTGTACAGAAGCTGTGTGTTTCTTGGTATGCGTACTTAACTGTATTTGTGTTCTCAGACCTATTTCATATCATCTTCCATTGCTGAAGACCAGTTACAATACTCAAGAACAGGGGTGTCTCTCAATCCCATGAATGCAAAGATCATACTTGCCAGAGAGCCTCGAGAAGCCTGAAGATGGAGGATTCAGAAGCAGGGGTCCCAGGCCTCAGCAGCTAAAGCCTGTTTCCAATCTCCTGATGCCATCGGGAGACTCGCTCATCCAGCACTGGAACATGAGGGAAAAGGCAGGTCCCTCCTAGTGGCCAGCAAATCAGTGATGCAAAGACAGATAATACTGTTCTTATCAGGTGTTAAAGATCTATATGAAAGGATGTACAATTTCATTTTTTACCGCAGCCATGTTTCAGGTCTCTACTGGATAAATGTCCTGGGAAAAGTGTTGTGGTCTGTAATGTTGTCATAACGACTCATGCAGAAACCTCCTATAATGAATCCTTATTATAAGTAAACTCTAGTTTTTGATTTGGAATTTGTGCAAATATTAACATTTTACTACATTATTATTCATGTACCTTAAGACCTCATGTCGGACCTTATATGCAAATTGATCTCTTAGAGTAATAGCTGTTGATAACATTGACTCTGACTCATCCATGGAATTGATTTACAGCTCTATATGTTTGATTAAGATTTGTTTACGACTGCGAAATTGGACTAGATTTTAAAAATCAGGGGCTGTTCCCTCCATGAACCTGACCAGGGTAAGGAGATGCAAGATGGATGGATGGACAGATGGATGGAAGTTTTTTTCTTTAAGTATGAATAGGACGTATCATCAGCTGTATCTTTCAAATAAACTGTTTCTCATAAGGAAAAAAAGAAACAGACATTTAACACGGAGCCAATCAAAGTCATTAGAGCAGAGCCCCGTCTGTAGAGTGCCCCCCCCAGCCCCCCCCCCCCTCCATTGGGTACATTTCACATGGTTTAAGAACATAAGAACATAAGAACA